TCCCTCTCCCACACCCCTCTATTCCCCTCTCCCACACCCCTCTATTCCCCTCTCCCACACCCCTCTAATCCCCTCTCCCACACCCCTCTAATCCCCTCTCCCACACCCCTCTAATCCCCTCTCCCACACCCCTCTATTCCCCTCTCCCGCACCCCTCTAATCCCCTCTCCCACACCCCTCTATTCCCCTCTCCCACACCCCTCCAATCCCCTCTCCCACACCCCTCTAATCCCCTCTCCCACACCCCTCTAATCCCCTCTCCCACACCCCTCTATCCCTCTATTGCTTTTTGCTTCGAGTGTGAATCGAGAGGGGACGTGCATTCGAGAGTTCAACAGAAATTCGGATGATAGCGGTAGAACGGGGCATGGGGAAGAGGGGAGGGCATAAGAATTAAAATGGCAAGGATTATTATTATTGAGATTAAAAGATCTACCAACATCTAATAAACCAGCGGAACAGGCTCAACGGATTTATTGTCCTCTGGTCCTCAAATTCAAATTAGTTCTAATAATATAATATATCCTTGCATTTGATCCTAACACCTTATCTTGTGATCGAGCCGTCTCGAAGAGCTTCACTGCGATACACTGCAAAGTGTAGTGACTGTGTATCTTGCGGGCAGCCAACTGCGCTCCCCCTCCCCAAGCGGTCGTGGATGGAGAGGAGGGGAAATGGCAATGGGAACGAGAAATGGGAAAATTCAAACCAAACTGATTCGACAATGGCAAAGCCCTCCCTCACTCCTTTCAAGGTTTGTCTCAAGGTCTCTTCGACCGCACTTTCGGTCGTCTTTTCCCCCCCCCACTCCACGGCTGTCCGCAACGGGCTGCCATGTTTCGCCCACGGTGTATCCTGCGAAGCGCTTTGAGACGTCTCGAGGTGGTAGTAAGGCGCTGTCCGTAATTATTCCCCGCAATCCCTTCTCGTCTCTCTCTCTCTCTCTCTCTCTCTCTCTCTCTCTCGCCTCTTTCGGACCGTTTTCGTTCTCAAATCGTGAGCGCGCACAGAATCGGGGGGCGGGGAAGGAGTTGGGGTGGGGGCGGTCGGGTGGGGGGGGGCTGTGGGGGATGGGGGGAAATCAAGTCGAGAAGGTGGTCCTGCTTTGGGTACGTCCGCAAGTCCGATTTCCGAATTAAAGACGCGTTCCGCGACCGATTCGATTTCATCTGGGGACGTACGGCTCATCTCCCCGCTCCCCTCCCCGACCCCCCCCCCCACCACCCCCCCACCCCGGGACTCCTTCCGGCTATGCCGAGCGCTTTGAGACATCTTCCTTTCCTGCGAAAGGTGTCCCGTCAATTTAAACCGGGGTCGCCTTGGGCGCTCGAGGAAGGAATTAGGGATTGCACGGGCCTCTCCCGGAGGCGACCCAGACGGACGGCCGGTCTCTCGTAACCCGTTCCTTGCGCTAATTAACCCGTCGCTTGCGTTACCCAAACCGCCACGGTCAACCCCCTTAACTTTCCAGCCCCCCCAGCCCCAAATCTGGCTCTGCCCGATTAACAACCCGCACCAGCATCCCAGAGCTCTCGATAGTGGCGGAGTCTGATCCCGAGCCGGGTGGGTGGGGGGGGGTGGTCTTGAGGCACGATCTGAAGATGGGGAAGAAAGGGCGGTGGGGAGGGGGGGATTTAAAGGTGAGCGTTCCAGAGTTTGGGGGTTAAATTAAAGGTACCATAACATACCCCCCCACCGCCCCACTCCCCAATCCATTTATAAACTACAGAATTACGTTCTCATTTTACCAGCAAATTGGGACTTTTTTTTTCTCTCGCGTAAGAGAACTGTAACTGAAAACCCCCCCACCCCCCCGCTAGCCCGCCCCCTTCCCCCGCCCACCAATAAAAAAAATCACTTGTGTCTAAATTTTAACGTGAATCTCGGGGGGGGGGGGGGGGTTTATATTCCTAGAACTTCGCTGGACAAGTCGCTTTGTCCGTCGAGTTGTACACACCTTCATATAGACACTACAGTTTATATTATATAGTATATATATCTATAAGTACATATACACACAGTTATATATATATATACATACAGTATATATTATATAGTGTATATATCTATATATACATATACACACAGGCACACACTGCACAGACAGAACAGTCGTTATAACTTTAACCGACCCCACGTCAACGCACGGCACAAAGCAGCCGATGTTAATCACGGAGCCATCCGAAATTCTGCCCCCAAACAGTCTCTCCGCTTGTCCTATCTCCCCCGCCTCTGCTTATCCTACCCCTCTCCCCTTCCCGCGCCGACCCCCGCCTCCCCCACCCCCCCACCCCCACCCCCACTTTAAACCGTGGACAACTCGCACGCAATAGTTCATCAATCACTTTGCTCTCCGCAAATTCACAGCGGAGTCTTGTTTCAATTGACAAACTGTAACGCTGTTAACTGCTTCGCTTTCAAACACACACAAACGACACAGACACACGCACGGACACGCACACAGCGGGTTCACATTTATCAGTTATATTTGCACGAGAAATGAGGGGTGGTGAGGTGGGGGGGAGTGGGGGACGGTGGTTGGACTTGTAATAATAATAATATGATAATAATAATCCTCGCATTTGATTCAGCGCCTCATCACGTCTTCGAGACGTCTCAAAGCGCTTCGCGGGATACGCTGCAAAGTCTCGTTTGTAAATCTGGTGCCGACGCTCTTTTAATTTCACTTAAAATTGGGAGGGGCGGTGGGGGGGGGATGGAAAAAAGACGTGTAAAATTGCGCGGATTTCTTACACGTCTGTTTGTAAACAGACGGTGTGTGGGCGCGTGGGGGGGGGGGGGACACACATTAAACTGCAATAATTGTAACTCACCCCCCCCACTCCCAAATGACCCCCCCCCCCCCCGCCGCACCCCGCTTTGAAACAGGCTCTCTGGGTGCAACGAGAATGATATAACACCCTCCCACACCCCCCCCACACCCCCCCCACACCCCCACCACCCCCACAAACACACACTCCCCAGAGCGCTTTTAAGTAAACCGCAGGACATTTAACCCCTTACGCCACCTGCTATTAAGTGAGTGATGAACAAACACAGACAAACACACATTCACACTCGGAGACAGATACTGTACTGACACACACACACACACACACACACACACGCGCGCACACACGTACACGCATGGAAACTGACACTGACAGATACACACACACACACACACACACAGACACTCTAACACACACAGACACACAATAAAATACACACATACACGTACACGCATGGAAACTGACACTGACAGATACACACACACACAATAAAACATACACACACATACACTCTAACACACACAGACACACAATATCCACACACAGACACACACACAAAGAAACTGACACTGACAGATACACACACACACATACACTCTAACACACACAGACAGACAAATGCTGACACACACGCACACACAGGCACTCAACACACACACATAGACACGACAGATACTAACACACACTAACACACAGACAAACAGGTATCTAAACAGACACACACACGCAGACAGACAATAACACACTAACACACACAGACACACACATAGACACACACACACAGACACAGACACACACTAGCACACAGACACAGACACACTCACACTCAGACACACACTCTAACGCGCACGCACAGACACAGACACACACACACAGACACACACTAGCACACAGACACAGACACACTCACACTCAGACACAGACACACACTAGTACACAGACACAGACACACTCACACTCAGACACAGACACACACTAGCACACAGACACAGACACACACTCTAACGCGCGCACACACAGACACACAGACACAGTCCCAGACACACAGACAGACACACACAGACACACACACAGAGGGAAGCTTGTCACATTAACAGCTCACACCGAACCGCTCTGTATTTGCACGATCGCAAAGAGCAAAAGTTGGCATCTGTGAGGGGAGACAAGAGCAGGAGTCGCTCTGTGAGATGTTAGACTTGGGGGGGTGTGGGGGGGGGGGGGGGAAACACACATATATATATATATACAGAGAGAGAGAGAGAGAGAGAGAGACATTTGATACCAAGGCAGTGACACCTTGGGCAGAGTTGGGGGAGAGAGACAGATAGAGGGGAGAGAAAGAATGGGAGGGTTGAGAGATGGGGAGGGGAGGGATGGAGAGATAGATGGATGGACCGACAATGGGAGGTTTGCAAATTATTCTCCTTTAAACACCCCCCCACCCACCACACACACCCCCACCCCACTGAAATGGATCCACATGTGGAACAAATATATATACCATTGGATCTGAAAGAGACAATGATCAATAAGGATGTTGCAGGAGCTGTTTTTTGGGGGGGTTGGGGGGTTGGGGGGGAGCAGAGGATGGTTAGGGAAGAGATGAGGAGGGATAGGGAAAGGGGGAGGGAGAGAGGGAGGGGTAGCAAGGGGCAAAGAGAGGGGGGGAGGAGAGGGAGGGGGGTAGTAAGGGGAGTGATAAGGGGGAGAGAGATGGGAGAGGGAGGGAGGGAAGGAGAGTGGGGGGAAGGGGGAGAGAGGGAGAGAAGGGGCAAGGGAGAGGGGGGAGGAAAGAGAGGGGGGAGAGAGATAGGAAAGGGGGGGAGAGAGAGAGAGGAGAGTGGGGGAGAGGGAGAGTGAGGGAGAGGGGTGGGAAAGAGAAGGGGAGAGAGATAAGAGGGGGAGAGAGAGAGAGAGAGAGAGGAGAGTGGGGGAGAGGGGTGGGAAAGAGAGGGGGAGAGAGATAGGAGGGGGAGAGAGAGAGGGAGGGAGAGGAGAGTGGGGGAGAGGGGTGGGAAAGAGAGGGGGAGAGAGGGAGAGAGGAAAGGGGGAAAGGAGAGGGAGAAGGATAGGAAAGAGAGGAGAGAGAGAGAGGGAGGTGGGTGGGATGGGGGGAGGATGGGAAGGGGAGAGGGATGGGAGTGAATGATTTTGGGGGGGAGGAGGGAGTGGGGGGGCAATAAATAACCACAAAAAAACTGTACTTACGGGAATAAGCAGTGACCAGACACATCCACAGAGTGATGGAGAGAGGGAGAGAGGGAGAGGGAGAGATGCTGCTCACTGGGTCCATGTCTCAGGCAACACTGAGAGATAGACAGATAGAGGAAAAAGGAGAGAGAGAGAGAGAGAGAGACTGGGATCAGACTGTTCTCATCTCCACTGCTTCTCTCCCTCTCTCTCTCTCTCCTTTTTCCCTTTCTCTCTCTCTCTCTCTCTCTCTCTCTCCTCCTCCTCCTCTCTCTTTCTCTCTATTGCCCCCTCCTTTCTTCCCTCCCTCTCCCTCTCCCTCTCTCTCCTTTTTCCTTTTTTCTCTCTCTCTCCTCTCTTTCTCTCTATTGCCCCCTCCTTCCTTCCCTCCCTCTCTCTATCTCTCTCTCTCTCTTCCTCTCCTCCTTTCCCAGACTGTCTCATTCAAACCATCTCAGATACCTCTCCGCAGATGCCCTTTTTTTTTGGACCAATCCAAACCCACTGTTAATCAGCATCAGCACCAATGCCTTAGAAACCCAATACAAGTTGGGGGTCGAGTTGAGGGGGGGGGGGGGAAAGGGGGTTGATTTCTACAATTTTAGGGACTATTCCCCTTCATTGTGGAGTAGCACAGTGGTTAGAGCACTCGCTTTGCAAGCGAGAGACCCGGGTTCAATCCCCCGGCAGGTCAGGGCGAAACCTCGGGCAAGTTTCCTGACTCCGCACAGAGCCCTAATAATAATAATAATCCCTCCAGAAACCCCAAACAATAATAAATTGGTCATTTTCAATCCACGACTGTTTGTGGGGCATCGCTGTGCGCCATCGGCCGCCGCGTTCCGCGCCCACAAATACACAGTCAGTTCACTTTACAGTGTGTTCCGTGAAGCGCTTCGGGACGTCCTCCCGACGCTATATCAAACGCAAGGATTATTATTATTGTTATTATTGTTGTTATTATTATTATTATTATTATCTCAAACCAGCCAGGCTCACAATTCACAGCCAAACTTGCAAAGGAACACAAGTTTACCAATACAGGGCATTTTAGAGACTCGAGCTAGTTATTTTTTATTATTATTATTCACACACACTAATCTTTTTCCACATGGTGGTGGTGGGGGGGGGGGGGTTCGGGGAAAATCTATTGCACATGATATCTGTGTGTGTGTGGGGGGGGGTGGGGCGTGGGGGGGGGGGGGGTGGGGGGGGGGAGGGGGTGGGGGGGTGAACACGTTTTTTTAATGAAATAAAAGTTCCACCTGAGGTTACTATTTGGATTCATCAATAATGTGGTCCATTCGAAGTTTAGCCCATGGTGATGAAAAGTTGTCTGGTTGTCAGTCTCCCTCCCTCCCTCCCTCCCTCCCTCACTCACTCACTCTCTCTTTCTGCCTCTGTCTCTATCCCCCTCTCCCCCACTCACCTCTTTACCGAACAAGGCTTTGCCCACAAAATACACAATCAATTCACTTTGCAGTCTATTCTGTTGTTGTTATTATTATTATTATTATTATTATTATTATTAAGGTTATCATTTCTTTTCAGTGCATTTGAGATGACAGGGTGGGCCAGTTAAAATTATTGTGCTGGAAATAATAATAATAATAATAATAATAATAATAATAATAATAATAATAATAATAATAATCCTTGCATTTGATACAGCGCCTCATCACGTCGTCGAGACGTCTCAAAGCGCTTTGCAGAATTTGCTATAAATTGGATTGACTGTGTATTTTGTGGTCAATTTTTATTTTAAAGGATTATTGCCTCCGGAAAGCGATCTATCAACTGACTAACAACCCTGGGTTCCTGCTCGCTTTTAGGTAAACAGAGGCGTGTGTGTGGCGTAAGGAAACTTGCCTCAGGTTTCGCCCTGTCCTGACCCGCTCGGGAATCGAACCCGGGTCCTCTCGCTTGCCAGGCGACAAAACACAGTCACTCCACTGTACAGCAAATCCCGGGAAGCACTTTGAGACGTCTCAGCGACGTGATACGGCGCTATACCAGATGCAAGGATTATTATTGTAACCCCCCCCCCGCCCGATAAGACTGCTCGTTCACCTGACGGCTGTTTGCGGGGACGCTGCCGCGCGCGAATTATCTGTCACTACACAGTCACTACACTTTACAGTAAAAATCTTGTGAAGAGCTTTGTACCAGGCCACGAGGCGGTGTAAATCAAATGCGAGGACTATTGTTATTCTTAATTATTATTATACCTGTGTGTTTTTTTTAAAAAAAGAACAAAGATGATATATAATCATCAGCTAAACCGTAGGAAACAAAAGGGTCCAATTAATGCACAGGGACATCGATTGCAATTTGCCTCGATAGGGCGCCTTTCACGCAGGGCAGGATATCTCAGAGAGTTTGACCAAGGGTTTGAAATTAGAAATAACATTCGAGAAAATATTAAGACGAGAGAATATTAATTCATTTGCAACTACAGGAGGAGCAAAGCCGCCCTCGGTGTTATCGCTGCCGTTTGCTTCAGTGGTTAGAAAAATAAAAGCCCTTTAGTAGGCAAAGCCCTCAACAATATTTTTGCTCAGAGCTGGTACCACACACATCACTGATGAAGCAAGTTACATACATACATACACACACACACACACACATACATACATACACACATACATACACACATACAGTCAAGTGGATCTCTGTACTGGTTCAGTGCGAGGCATCACTTTGACTTTAACCCCCAAAAAACAGCTTCAAAAGGTTAACCCCACAGAATAATACTAATAATAATCATAATAATAATCCTTGCATTTGATATAGCGCTTTTCGCGTCTTCTCGACGCCCCAAAGCGCTTCACCGAATACACTGTAAAGTGAAGTGACTGTATATTTGTGGGCGAACGCAGACGTTTACCGATAAATAGCTGCACAATCCTGATTTTCATCGCTGTCAGCTTGATGTGTCCTGTCAATTTTGCCCCTTGTCTGATTTATACTGCACTAACAGAAGAAGGTGATGGTGATGGTGGTGGGGGGGGGTGTGGGTGTGGGGGGTGATTGGAAATAAGGATAGAGAGAGAAGACAGAGAGACAGACAGACAGAGAGAGAAGGAGAAGGCAGAGCATTTGGGATGAGTGAGACTGAGCTATGAAACTCACAGGTACCAATCTTTGGTTCTTTTAACTATTTGCATCCACAGGATTTTTATTCCAATAATTTTTTTTATTTCCCCCCCCCCCCCCCCCCCACCCTCCAAGCTCAACTCATTCCCTCTCAAGCAAGTATTAAAACAAGACAGAGATCAAAGGGAGGTGGGGGGGTTGGGGGGGAATTAAAACTATTTAATTTATATATACAGAGAGGGGGAATGAATTAAAAGGACTGTAACACTTAATCACAACTTCTAGTTTTATTTGGGAGGTGGGGGGTGGAAAATATTTATCAACACAGAGAGAAAGAGAGAGGGGGCTATGGGGAGGAGAGAAAGGAAAGGGAATCACAAAAGGACTTTAAAACTAAATTACAACTTTTAATCTAATGTGGATGTGTGTGTGTGTGTGGGTGGGTGGGGGTGGGGGGTAGAGGGGGAATAAAAAAAGGATTAATCAAAACAAAGAGACAGACAGACAGAGAGAGAGAGAGAAAAGAGGGGGGAAGAAAGGAGAGGGGATAAGAAAAAAGACTTTTAAAATTTAATCACAATTTAGTTTTTTTCCCCCCAATAATGTGTGTGTGTTTGGGGTTGGGGTGGTGGGTGTTGCTGATGAACCTTTCATGTTAGTGGGGTGGGGGGGGGAAAAAATTTCCCTTCACTTACCAAGTTATGTAAAAGGGGATTAACCCTCTCTCATCGACTCAGGGTAGAGAGAGAGCAGATTATGAGATGGGAGGGTGGGTGGGTGGGGGGAGTGGGGGGGGGATTGCAAGTGGGATAAGAGGGTGCAGGGTGCATGAAAGAAAGATCCCCCCCCCCCACACAGCCCCTTCCCCACACCTCCCAGATGCTCTCTTTGAGGGTTAATTGATAATAATTAATAATAATTCACAGTAATAAACCGCGCGCAATTGGCTGCCTCGTTCCGCCCAGAAACTACAGTCACTCCACTTTACGGCATATTCCGCTTCGAGACGTCTCGACGACGTGATCAGGCGCTGTGTCAAATGCAAGGGTCGCCACAACAACAACAACAACAACAACAACTTGCATTTAAATAGGGCCCTTTACACGGGGTACAGTCCCGGAGAGCTTCACAGTGACGGAGTCTGATTATTATTATTATTATTATTATTATTATTATTATTACTATTCGCCCCTCACTCAAACCAGCACTCTCCTGGTTAACCTGCTCAAACCGAAGCTTGATTCAGCTTGAAATCCCTTTGCGATTCTTTCCCTCTAAACCACGCGCGGAGAGAGAGAGAGAGAGAGTGAGAGAGCAGTGGCGACGGGGAGGGAGTGGGGTGGGGGGGGAGGCGGTGGTGGTGGGGGGGGGAGATTTTATAGGAGATGTAACGAAGTGGACAAATGCTGTGGGTGGAGAAAGGATAAATCCAGTGCTGTTTATATTCCTCTCAGCTGCTTTTGGAGCTTAAAGCCAATCAGCGCCACATCAAAACCTCAAGGCTTTCTCCTTCGATAGAGGACGCTGTATTCCTATTCATCAGCCCCCTCCTCCCTCACCCCCCCCCCAACCCCCCCCTCCGCCACCCCCCAGCCACCCCCTCCCCCACACACGACAACTCACCGTGAGTGTGAAAGGGTTGGGGTGGGGATCACTCTGCCATAAGATGTGGGCGACAGGAATACTTGTTCTGATTTAACGATAATAATACTAGTCCTCGCGATTTGATAGAGCTGTTGGGACGTCTCAAAGCGCTTCGCAGGGCACACTGTCAAGTGGAATTGAACATAAAATTCAACCGACGGATGTCCGAGTTAATCATCCGATGCAATAAGGCACTGACAAGCTGTTGCCTGAAATGCGTTCAGTTATTTTTTTTTGTCTTTAGCCGTTCGTTCATTCATTTATTCCCTCAATAGTTCGTCGCTTTGCATCTCATACCGCGCTTTATCAGCCCGTCCGAGCTATTCCGCGTGGATTTTCCTGCGAGCGTAGTGACTGGTCGTTTTGTTTCCGCTGCAGTGATTAGTAATAATAATAATAATAATAATGATAATGATGACTTGCAT